ACTAGTTGGTCTAAGTGACACTGCTTTGTAAACTGAAGAGCCAGATACAGAAAAAAGCCTTTATTATGATGGTCATTTCATCACTGGTTTTCAACCAGGCCACATGTTAAGGATGCAAAATGTGCTGCAGCTTTCAAAGGTATGGTTTAGCTTCAGATTTTCTGTAATGTGTACAATAGATGGTAAACACACAGAAAAATTGTTCTCAAAAAGTCCAATTTTTGCTAGTTTTTACCCATTAAGAATAGCTATCTGTATTGGGAGAAAAACGATTTTTTTCTTTAAAGATTTTATTTTTTCCTTTTTCTCCCCAAAGCCCCCCAGTACATAGTTGTATATTCTTCGTTGTGGATCCTTCTAGTTGTGGCATGTGGGACGCTGCCTCAGCGTGGTCTGATGAGCAGTGCCATGTCCGCGCCCAGGATTTGAACTAAGGAAACACTGGGCCGCCTGCAGCAGAGCACGCAAACTTAACCACTCGGCCATGGGGCCAGCCCCGGGAGAAAAATGATTTTTATCAAAACTTACAGCTTACTCATTTCTAGCTGCTGTTGGATTGTCTGAAGGGACCTCTCCCTGGGGTTGTGGAATGCTTCTTAATTTCAGTAGTTGAATAAAGGTCCATTGATTTTTAACTTTGATTTTTCAAGCTGCTTTGCTTTTTGAGCCAGACCAACTCACTAAGTTATTTTGTATGGATTGTACCCCTCTGTCGAGGTGGTTTCCCAATCGTAAATTGGATTAAGTACCCCAAATATCCTAAATTGAAATTCTAAACTTGAGCCACTTGATGAAATATTTTTTGCCTTGAGTTTGCTGAACCTCTCTTTGGTCTGCAGGTAACTTTTCTGCCAAGCTCTTTCCCACATCAGGCCCTTCGCCCATGCTGATCCCTCTGCCTGGAAAGCTTTCTCCCAACTCTTCACAAAGCGACTCCTTCTCCTCCTTTAGCTCAAATGCTATGTTCTTAGAAAGGTCATCTCTGAACACCTGTTTCAGGTCCTCTCCCTGATCTATTTCCTTATTTATTTCCTTCACAACACTGATCACAATCTGCAATTTCGGTGTTTATTTGTTTAGTTCTTTGCCTATATCCCTCATTATAGTATCAGCTGTTTGGGGGCTGGGACTTTGCCCATGGATGTCATTATCTATGCCAGCATCCAGCACAGTGCCTGGCACACAAAGACTATCTGTTAAAGAGACGAGCTTGTCTGATAAGATCCACACCAATGTCATGGGGTTGTGGTCATATACAGTTCTCTTGAGGTGAGAGCCTACCTTAAAGACTATCCAGGGCTTGGTCTGTGGTGCTCATGGTGGCCCACATTTCTCCCAGGGCCCAGGAGGAGCCAGAGTGGCAGCACAAGACTGCTGGCTCCTGTCTGCCCCACCCTAGGGAGGCCGCCTCAGTGATGTCACACAGGACAGGATTCTCTAATCCACTTCATTCTGTAACAGTCCTTTAAACAGCTAAGTCTTTCATGACCCCATATAGCAGGGGGGATGGAGGAAAGAGGACTGGGGTGGAGGGTATACGCCCCCCAACAAAGTTAGTTTAGGAGCACTATCTGCTCATACATTCTGCTTCAGGAGAAAGCGGGCAGCAGAAGCTGGAATTTGGACGAACCTAAGGAAAAGTGAGAAAATAAGAATGGAGAAAAGAAGAGCAAAGGAGATAAAAAGAGAACAGAAGAAAGAGAGAAGAGTGATAAGCAGGAGAAAAGAGAGAAGAGGAGGACAAATGAAGAGGATGTTTGTGAGAAAAAGACGTGAAACAGGTAGTGAAGGAGGAGGAGGAAGAGTTGAACCTATGTTCTGCTGGGCTGTTGACTCTTGGGTAGCGAGTGGCTTCAGTGTGAGAGGACGGATGGCTGAGAGGAGGGGCATTCTCAGGTCCTCACTCCCTTGTGGGGTTACTTCAACTGCTGAGATTTATTCTGAGACGCCCAAGCAAGGCTGTCTCAATGGTGACTCTCCTGGATGGATTCACAATAGTAATTTAGGAACGAGAAATGTAAACCTTTTCTTTAAATCATGATTGGGAAGGAAAAGAGAAGAGAGTATTGCTGACCAGACTAAGCTTTACTCACTGCAGCCCCTGTCCTCATCCCCAGCCTCTCAATTAGCGGGCCACTAGCAGACAGCTAACTTCAGAACTTGAAAGCCAGCCTTTCAGACAATCTGTTTCCCTCTTTGGTAATTGAAATAGAAACAGATTTTCAAAGCAGAATAGGATAGTTTTATACAAAACCCATAAAAATTACTAAAATACAATGATGGCAATATATGCTCACTGACACTTCACAAAAACTTACTGTGAACATCCCACATACGTACAGGAGGCCCAAGCAAGGCCTTGCAGTTCAAAAGAGAAGAAAACTTCTCTCCTTTTTCAATATCCTTTTCTCCCCTTCTAAATAAAGATTTTTGCCCTTAGTATAGTATTTTGGATAATATTTCGGGAATATAAAATTGGGTATAATAATGAGGAAGGGGATAGTACAATACCAAGCATCTTTATTCAGACAATATTAACATATCTTTGTTCCAGATTTTAAAATGTCAATCTTATAACCCATGAGTTTCCCAGTTCATACGAAAATGTCCCTGTAAGCTGTATCCAGAAATATGAAACAGTAGGAAGGTGCAGCTTTGTCAGCAGTCTGTGGTACACTGTGCAGACTCCTGAAAAATCTCTTTACGCTCATATTTTCTATTTTTCTACCTCTTCTGCTATAATTGACCCAGATTCTCCTATAAGTGTAGAGCAAAGAGAAGATATGGAAGCCTAAAGGAAGGAAGCAGTAAGATAGGCAAGACCTTAGAGTTCTCTATGACCCACTACTGCCACTGGTGGCTCAGGATCTACCTTATCAATAAGAAAATTTGTTTTCTAAGGGCATCTCAAACAGGGGTTGCCACATGGGCTTTTCTATTTCAGAATGGTAATGAGTCCACTAGCATGCTAATCATGCTGTTACTTGTCTGAAGTATTAAGGATTCCAATAAGGCAGAGTTTCAAAGATCTTTGATCTAATTTCTTTATTTTTATTGGTTTTTTTTTTTTTGGCAAGGGTGTGGAGAAGTAATTAGGAAACGTGTCCTCAGATGATACTGGAGATCAAATGCATAAGCGAATTTTATTTTTATTTTGTATACCTGGAAATGAGCCATCTTCATCTTACTCTAAGAAATTCTAACCCCAAAGATATTGGGTAGAGTAATTTTTAGGTTCCTTGAAGAATTGGCCTGCCAGGGATCATTTGGTGATACTGTTTGATCCTGCTGTTAGGTCCCAGGCCTAAGAGTGAAAGAAACAGAACCTTCCCCAAAAAGTCATGTTGAACAAATTGGAGATGGCTTTTATAGCTTTAAAAGCACTAAGTATTTGTTGAATGACAGAAAGACACAAGAAATAGGTGCCTTTGATTTAAGAGTTGGGGCAACAAAGTGGTTTTAAGAGACACAAGGTAGCAGGGGACAAATTGCTACAGTAAGCTCCTGAGATAAAACAGAGAGGCCTCCTCACAAATTTACCATTTTATCAGCCAGAAAACAATTTGGCTAATATTTTCAGGTGTTCTTTTTAAAGTACCTGCCTCCTATAATGAAGTATTTGGGGTTTTTTTGTATATAACAGAGCATCTTTTTAAAACACGGATTTTTCTTTTAAACTTCTGTTCCTGCAAATGTGGTGTAGGTCAAACGCAAGAACAGGTTAACCTTTGACAAGAGAGGGAAAGGCACCCCAACCAATGGGAACTCGTGCTGGTGATGTACTGCTCCCCAGTTCTGACTCATTGGCCGCCTAGGGTTTGTCATTCTATCCCAGGCGTCTGCAAACAGCGTGGGTTGGGTTTTCCGTAGTCTAGCTAGCTAAACTGGATTTTGGCCGCCTGCACGTGCAGTTTCAATTAGGTTTAGCCGATCTCTAACTCTTAATAGAAGCAGCTGTTACTTTTCTGATTATCCTCCAGATTTTGAAAAGTCCTTCGTTCCTTTAACCTCACTGGAGGTCGTTGGAGGTCCCCTGTGACAGAATCACGTGACTGTCTAACATGTGCAAATAAATACAATGTGGAATCCCCTGAGCTACAGACCGAAAACCTGCCAGAAACTCATGCACCGCGTGCGTGTCAGCTGCTCTGGCTTGTGGGTGGGTGGTGGTAGGGGGCGTGTGCTGCCCTTCGGGACTCGAGGTGTGTGGCTGGGGCACCTGCGTGGGCCTCCTGGGGTCACTGGGGGAGGATGGCTCCGGAAGCGTGGGACCCTGGGGAGGGGGTCTGGCGGCGGCCTGGGACCCAGCGCGCGGTCGAGCCGCAGCAGCCAGGCCGCCGCCAGTCCGCGGCTGCACCCGAGAGCGCGGCCGCGCGGGGCCAGGCCTCGGGGACTGTGGCCGGCGTCTTCGCGGGGAGTGGGCGTGTATTCGCAGACAGGTGGAAGCGCCGGGGCGGGAGGCGGGACGCCCTAGCGGGAGCTGCGCCCTCTCGACTCGGCAGACGCCGGGCTCGGACACGTTCGCGATCCCCGGGGTTCCTAACATCTCGGCCACTGCCCAGGCTCCGGCGCCGGGGCGTGAAGGCCCCGGTCTCGGTTGGGACTCGGGTTTGGATACTCTTTTCGGCTTCAGCCTGGAGCCCCGTCAGCCGGGCGGCTGCGGCGAGCGAAGCCGGGCAGGGCAGTGACGTCATCTGCCGCCGCCCCTCCCCCGCGCGCCAGCCCTCGCCGCAGTTCCTGCCCAACGACATCCGGGTCTCTCCAGCTGCTCCGCCGCGCCGCAGCTGTAGCGGCGGCTGAGCCGGCGGGGCTGGGCGGGCGGAGGAGGGGGGAGGGGCAACACGGCGCCGTCGTGAGCGCGCCTGCGCGGGGACGCGCTCGAGGCGGTGGCGGCGCTAGGGGCGGGAGCGCGCGCGGGAGCGAGGGAGCAGTGGTCTCGACGCCGGCCCGGACCGCGGCTTCGGGTGCTCGGGCGGCTGCAGTTCGGGAACGGGTGGTTGGGGAGGGGGGGTGGGGGGGCGCCAGGCAGGTGGGGCGCGAAAGCGATGAATCTTCGGCTCTTCCTCCTCCTCCTCTGGGACCCGCTCTCCGCCTCCCGCTCCAACGCCCGGATGATCTGAACCGCGAGGACGCCGAGAGCCGGGGGCCCGGACGCAGCCCGGCTCCTCCCCTCCTCCACCCCCTCCCCGGCCTGACCTGGCCGGCCGCGGCCGCGGTGACCCCCTTCCCGCCCCCTCCCCGGCCGCCGTCGCCGTCGCCGCCTCGGCCGACCAGGGACCTGCCCGCCCGCTGCTGCTCCGGGTAAGCGCTCCGCTCGGGCCGAGGGCGGGCTGGCGGGCGGCGCGGGCCTGCGCGGCGGCGGCCAGGCCTGGGCCTGGGGCCTGTAAACAAGCCGGGCGTCTGCCCGGGCGCTCCCGGGAGGAGACGCGACAACTCCACCCCCTGGCCCAGCCTCCTCCCCGCGGCCGGGCGGCGGGCGGCGAGGGGTTAACGCTCCGCCGGGGCGGCGGCGGGGAGGCGGGGGCGGGGTGTTCGGCGGCGCGCGGGGGGCGGGGGGCGCGACCCTCGGGCCGCCGAGGCCGGGCGCGTGTCGGCGGCGGCGCGGGCGAGGGCGAGGGCCGGCCTGGCCCGAGAGCGGCCGGCGGAACTTTTCCCGAGAGCAGAGGGGGCGTCGCGGCGCCCCCACCCGCCGCCCGGCCGCGCGCCCGGCCGCCTGGGCTGCAACCCCCGGAGGGAGGCCCCCTTCGGACCGGACTGACCCTCGGAATAGCAGATTCTGGAGAATTTGCTCCAGGTTTTATAGGGGGCAGAGCTGAGAGTGAGGCTCCTTCAGAACTCGAGTCAGTGATGCCGCCGGTCCATTCATTTTTAAGGCATCAGACAAATCCATTGAAGTAAACCACGCTGATTTCTTCTCCTGTCTTTTTAACCGTGTAAATTGTGTGGGTGAAAGTTCTTGATGTTAGAGTTTGGTGAGGTATGGTTCTGTTCTCCTTGTACATTGCAAATACGTTCTTGCGAGCTGGCTGTGGAGAGCCTTCTACGACCGCAGTTTTAGATAGGTTTTGAAAATTTCATCCCCTGGGGTATTTTTCCTTCCCTCTTCTAAGATCCACAGAGGTGGTACTTCGTTGTCCAAGCCAGGAAATCTACGCGCCGTCCCACCCCCAGCACTGAGTTTTCTGCTAATTGCAGTAAACGAGCCGAATACATTTTAAGAAGTGATTGGAAGAGAATGGGAAGTGTAAAAATCTATGGGAAATAGCTCTTATTTTCCCAGAGTTAATGATTTTGACGTTTCTGGAAAAAAATAGAAATCTGAAAAATTGCTCTGAGGAAAAAGGCTTAATCTTTTCAAACTTGCAGGTTGGGATTTTAAACAACACTGTTTAGACGTGAAGAGCTCTTAGGAGTCAGGGGGTTGATTTATTTCATCAGCACTCTGCTGAGCCATAGGGGTTCCAGAGCTCTCCGAAGCCCAGCGGAGCTGGCTCCCCAACTCTTTGACTGGAACACCTTCACTTTTGCCTTTTTACATATTGGGCCTTTTCCGAAGATTGTATTTCTGTAACTCTTGACAGATTAGAAAACTGACTAGGAAGATAGTCACCCCGCCTCCCGCCTATTTTTTGTTTACAGATGTTACCTTTATTAATTTAATATTTCCTTTGCCGATAAATAATTTGAAGCACAAAGTAACATTCCTTGCCTGATGTTACAGTTGTGTTCTTATGTGTAACTCACATATATCTGATTAAACATTCACTCATGTAGGGTGATTACTTTTAACCTGCAAGTTACAGCAATATCACGCTATAGAAACTATAATGAACTGCCCATGAAAGTTGCTTAAGACATTTTTGATTTGATATCATTAAACATTTTTCATATCAGTGAAGTAACTATATAATGGGAGAGGTATATTAAGACTAGTAGAGTTTGGCTAGCTACCTCAGTATATATTTGAGAAATAACATGGTTCCATGCTGGGGTTATTAACATTTCTTTTTACTTGGCATTTATGTGTGTATATATATAACCTGTTGAAGGGAACATTGCACTAGGAGGCAAGAATTGTTTAGTCATGGCTGTGCTCCAAAATATCTCTGTCCGTGGACAAGTCCTTTAACCTTTTGAGTCTCCACTTACAAATCAGTAAAGCCAGAGGGGTGAATATATGATCAAATGTACTGTCCAGTTGTTAAATTTTTTGATTCCCTTAACATTGTCTATTCAGTATGCCTTGACCAAATGCCTGGTGTGTGCTAAGCAGTTAGATGTTTCTGCACTCTAAAGCTGATTTTCTTTCTGGGTTGTGTCTTACTTAAAAGAATTTTAAGTGGGTGATAATTCTTCAGGAAAGAGATTCCTGTAGGTGGCATTTATTGATTGTTCTCCTGGGATTGGGAAGTCGAGAAAAACCCTTGGAGGAAGGATGGAGATTCCACGGGAGACACAGGGTGGTTGAGTCTACACATTTGAACAAGCACACGACCCTTGATGGTTTGATGCAAAGGGCATTATAAGAACACATTATGAAGGTTTTTCTGTCAGTTCAGGCTGGGTCTTGCTTATCTTGACTTGATAATAAACTTTCCTTTGAAAATTTGTTCCTTGGTACCTAATTTTTTTTTTCAAAGAAATCTATAGCACTGTCTGTCATGCTGTCTGATGGTAAATATTGCTAAGCAGTTACCAGAAAGCTACAGCCTTTGAATTTGTTCATATTATACTTAGACTATTTATTATAATGGCTAGTAGAATGTGTAGCTGATTCTGGTTTAACTATGAATGCTTATTTAATAATTTAATACTAAAGACTGACGTAGGTCCACAGGGAGCTTATTACCCCTGCGATGCTCACCCCTGAGAGCTGGATTAATTTCTTAAGATGTAAGTGTGTGGTCATGTAGGAATAATTAATTATAAGGTGATATTTTGGTGATTCCCCCCCAAATGATTGTCTAACACTTGCCTGGGTGCCTGAGTCTGAGTGATACTCTTGACTGCTTTCCATCCTTAATCAAATTGGAGGAAGGAGGCAGTCATGTAAGAAAACAGGCTCAAGTGGAGTCCTCCAAGAGTTAAGCAAGAAGATAAAATAAGGTGTGGCCCTGTGAAGGATAGGACCTCGAGGGAGGGGAGAGTTGTTATGAGGCAACTAGGTAGACGTTTCTGTCTTCCTGTACCTTGGATAGTAACGTTATGCCAGAAGATGTTCTGTCTTCCATCTCAAATAATGTTGGTGAAAAAATTTTAAAAATTCAGTTGCTTCATTTATTATTTCAGGATTAGCCAGGATGTATAAATTCTCTGAATTTCCACCTGGGATTATTAACTAACCTTAAGTGAAAGAAGCTTGGGTTAAATTATATCAAAATCAAAAGGTTAATTATCTATATTCTTTTGCTCTTTCTGTTGTCTGATATGCTCCATATGACCCAAGTAACAATTTTATATTTTGTTATGAGTCACTAGAATACATTCCTTGATGATTTTGACCTTTGCTTGTCCTAGCTGTATATGTGCTCCCTAGATAATCTCTTTACCTAGCTTTTCTTTTGCTGAGGCAGGTAGGAGGAGCTAGAGACAGTAAGCGATTAAGAGAGGTGAGGTTCTGTCTACCTGTATCTAAAGTATAATCGACTTTAGAATTTTTCTACGAAACTGAGGGAGAGATACTGGATACTAATGTATATTAATAAAGTAGGCTGTTGATTCTGTGTTTATAAAATTAGAGCTGTTTAAACATTACTTGAGTAAATATGTGATAAAGGAGGGAGTCTGAGTTTTTATAAATTTTTTTTTTTAAAGATTGGCACTTGAGCTAACATCTGTTGTCAGTCTTTTTTGCTCACTTCTTCTTTTTCTTCTCCCCAAAGCCCTCCAGTACATAGTTGTATATTCTAGTTGTAGGTGCTTCTAGTTGTGGCATGTGGGACGCTGCCTCAGCATGGCTTGATGAGCAGTGCCAGGTCCACGCCCAGGATCCGAACCAGGGAAACCCTGGGCCACCTAAGTGAAGCAAGCAAACTCAACCACTCCTCCACCGGGCCGGCTCCTATAATTCTTAATATGTTTGGAATCCATTGACCACATTTATGTAGTTCTCATATTTAGGAGCTAGATTGAAAGTCACTAGAGTTTTTGTGGCTGATATGATTTGAACTAAAATCCTATGAGAGTGAACTACTTCTAGATACAGAAGAAAGTGGATGATAAAAGCCATAATTTATCGACCATTTATTTGTGTCAGCTTTAATTTTTGCTGCAACCCTCTAAATCATATGATGTTATCTCTGTTTTACAAATGAAGAAGTAAGGGTCAGAGAATCTAACATGCCAGGATCAGATCCCGATAGAAATAAAATTATTTTCAAAATATTCATGTGTGGATTTTTTTCCCAATTAGATGAGCCTTCTTGTTCCTAGCAATCAAAATGAAAAGCTGAATGGTAACACTTCTGGTTCAGATTCCCAGAATTAAAAGAGACCGTAGAAATTTATGTAGTTAAGTCTTCCAATGCAGGGGTCCCTTCTAAAACATTCAGAAAAGATTTAAGAAGTTCAGTTCAGGGGCTGGCCCCATAGCCAAGTGGTTGTGTTCACGTCCTCCACTTAGGCCACCTGGGGTAGGCCGGTTCAGAGCTTGGGCACAGACCTAGCAACTGCTTATCAGGCCATGCTGTGACAGCATCCCACATAGAAGAACTAGAATGACTTGCAACTAGGATATACAACTATGTATTGGGGCTTTGGGGAGAAAAAAAGAGGAAGATTGGTGACAATCTTCTTCACCAAAAAAAAAAAAAAAAAAAATGGGCTCAAAAAAAAGAAAAGATCTACAAAAAAAAGTTCATTTTCTCATTCCCAGAGTTTCAGAAGTCAACAGAGTTAAACAATTTTATGTCTTCAGCTGTCATTGTTCATTCAGATTGAGGAATGGAATCGATGTTAATTCTCATGGTTTGTATCCTTAATGAAGGATTAAGAGAAATGTTTCTGAGTACATCTAGTCAATAGAGCCACATAGAAGTCTTTGGAAAGGAGAAGGTGGTAAAACTTACTAGTGGGGTGATCTTGGGCAAGCAACTTGATTTCTCTAAGCCTCAGTTTTCTTTATCTGTGAAATGAAAAGGTCATTCTAATAAGGTAATCTTGAAGATTAAATGAGATAATTATGTAAGGCACTTGACATGTTTTCTACCATGAGAAAAGTACCAAATAAATAGTAACTGCTGTTGTTGAGTAGGATATGAAATCTTGAGGTACATAGGGGAATAGAGAATTAGTGGGTGTGA